ATTTTTATTTCTCTTTCATTCTTGTTAGCTCATCTATTCAATGATTTCATCTAATAATCTGTTTGTTGTTATTATGTAATATATGTTATGTAATTATGTCTGCATCTGAAACAGTTTTGATCATGGCTAACAACTCTATTTGTAATAGTGTTCCATTCTATTGATTGACTGATGGATTGATTAACTGAGCTATTATCAATTCAGTTTCTAATACAAAAGGATCGATATTGTTCTGATCAAAAAAACACTTAAGTACAATAACACTTTTTTAGAAAAAGATTTTTCCTGTTAATGTTGTAAATGGAAAGTATATATTACTTTAGTAAAATATACATTTGAAGTACTTCATATGTTTCACTGATTGAAATCATGAGTCAGTTAAAGCTAGATCACCATGGAAAACCTGGAAACACTAGACGGCTGTTTCGTCCTAGTATGGAACTCCTCAGCAGTGCGCATCCACAATCTCATACCCCGCAAAATTCGAACCCACGACCTATCAGTCTCGAGCCAGGCGCTTAACCAACTAGATCACTGAGCCGGCCGGTATCCAACGGTGTTAATATCTAACTTCAACCAATCCACGAAGTTGCGCCATCATACACCACTGTCTTCAGTGAGTTCCTATCTCACAACAGACCTGGTTGAACTCCACTGGTAACGACTTCTCATATGTTTTCAATTATTAACTCCGCCTGGACTCCCTACGAGGGCTACTGCCGGTCCCAAACCTGGATAAAGGAGGAGGGTTGAGCATGGGGTTAGCGTCTCCATCCCGTAGAAAACTAATTCGCTAAAAAAACGCTAATCAGAAAAAATTATTCAATTATTAGTCCTAGTTAACCTTAATTTGAAAATATTTAGTTGGAATAGAATAGAGTAAAGAAACACCCTAAAGAGATAATATCAATCTATGAAGTAATGAATAATTATGTTTTTTGGAGATAAATAGAGAAAATATAAACTAAATGATTATAGCCTATACAATAGTTGTTATCTATGAGTATAGAAGTTTGATAGTATGTTTTGGAAATTAGTCTCAGTGAAGTGGTTGCAGTGGTGTTTTTTTCCATTGGTTCTTTAGCTTGATTGTCATTTTATCATTTTGAGTCATTCGTTCGAAAATATGTTTTCCTATGTGGGATTTACGTTAGAGTGGATAATGTTTCATTAAGGAAGTATTATAATTCCTCCTATAACTCTTCTGGGGTTAATGACGGTTCTAAGTACAAGTAAAGGAGGAGGGTTGGGCATGAAGTCAGCAACCATATCCTGTAGAATATAAACTTGCTATTAAAAAAAACGCTAACCAAAATAAATAATGGAAGCCATTTAAACTCTGTACTCCGAGTTGAACGATCCTCATCCAGAAGAATTATGACGCCTCATGTTAAAAGACGAGACTGTTCGGAAGTCACGAGGCGGATGCCTTTTCTAAAAACTAGAGAAACAATTAATATACGTACATGGAATATTTGGACAATGTGGGAGTCCGGGAAGAACTATATGACACGACGAAAAAACTGGTAGGGAAATATAGTAAACCAGAAAGATCGATCAAGGACAAAGAATGCAAGGCAATCATTGAGATTCCAAAATAGAGGAACAAATGAAAGGAACATTTCGGGGAACTCATGAATAGAACATCTCGCTCGAATACACCGAACATCGAAGCAGCACACACAGACCTCCCTATAGATGTCACTCCACCAACGATCGAAGAAATCAGGATGGCCATCAACCAAATCGATGGGAGGAAAGCAGCAGACCTGACAATATGCAAGCTAAAGGTCTGAAGTCAGACATGAAAGTAACTGCAAGCATGGTTCGCACTCTATTTAACAAGATTTGGGAGGAACAACAAGTGCTGATGGACTGGAAAGAAGGATACATCATCAAGATACCAAAGAAAGCAGACCTAATCAAATGCGAGAACTACAGAGACATCACACTGCTCTCAGTCCTATGAAAAGTTTTCAACAGAATGTTACTGAACCGGATGAAAGATTCAGTAGACACCTAACTTCGAGATCAACAGGCTGTATTCCGTAGGGATCAGTCGTGTACAGACAAAACCGTGACATTATGGATCATCGTTAAACAATCATGTGAACTCAATTTGTCACTATACATCAGCTCCCTGGACTATGAGAAAGCATTTGACAATGTGTACAGGAGAACCTTATGGGATGTTCTTTGGCACGATAGTGTATTGGAGAATATCTTCAAAACCATTCGTAATTCACACGACGGACTATACTGCAAAGTTGTGAGTGGGGGACAGGTGCATTACAAGTGAGGACCGGAGTGAGACAAGGCTGCTTACTCTCCCTCCTGTTTCTTCTGGTGTTCGACTAGGCTATGAAGACATTCACATCGGAGGGAAGGCACGCAATGCAATGGAAAGCTTGTGTTCAACTAGACGATTTAGATTTCGTAGATGACCTAGATCTACTATTCCATACCTATCAACAAATGTAATTGAAGACAACCAATGTAGCAACAGCCTCTGAATCAGTAAGCCTCAACATACACAAGGGAAAAACCAACATCCCCAAATACAACACAGAGAACACCAACCCAAACACACTTGATGGAGAAACTCTGGAAGCGATGGAATCTTTCACGTACTTCGGCAGCATCATCGATGAACAAAGAAGATCCAATGCAGATGTTAAGGCACGGATTGGCAAATCAAGACGGTATTCCAACAGTTGATGAACATACAAAACTCAAAACAACTGTCAAACAATATCTAAGTCAGAATATTCGATACGAACGTCAAAACAGTTCTATTGTATGGAGCTGAAACTTGGAGAAATACCACAACCATCATCTAAAAGTGTGAGCATTTATAAAGTTGTCTACTCAATATCCATTGACCAGGTAGCATCAGCAACAGACTACTGGGGAAGATAACAAACCATCCTCTATCTGAAGAGGAAATTAGGAAAAGACGTTGGAAGTGGATAGGACATATATTACGGAAATCAAAGTTTATCACAAAGCAAACCTTAACTTGGAATCGTAAAGGGAAACGGAAGACCAAGGAACACATCGCGTCGGCAATCGGGAGCAAACATGTAAATAATGAATATCAACTGGTAAGAACTTAGGACTTTTCACGATAAAGTTCGATGGGAATATTGGTAGGCAGCCTTCCTCCATGAGGGTTAACAAGAGTAAGTACTCATTACACGTATGATGGAACACTTAGATTCATTAACACATTACTTATTCGACTGGGTTCAATCAGCAACACTAACGATTAAACAACAGTACATCGATTAACGTGAATAACTCAGTCGTGTAGAGGGTTATTCTCAGATAGAGTAACTTAGTGGCATCTCTGTAATTGTAACGCCATAATGACGGAGCCCATAAGTCCTATTCTCACTATAAACATCAGTGATCCCTCAAGATCGATTAGACAAATCTATATTAGCAGTGTATACTCAGGAGCCAACGGGCGATAAACTGATGACGTTAAGCTTTTTGAGCGATTATGATAAGTAGATTTATATCATTATGAAATGGCGAAAAAGATTTGCAGCTCAGATTGAAACTTATGTTACCTGAGACGGTCGGTTTAAATAGGAACCTGTTTACTCTCATAGTCCTGAACAGCATCATCAATAACCGGAAGATTATAATCAAATTAGGAAAAAAATCCTAACTGAAATTGAAAAATGAAACAAATTTATCCTCTCAAACCACTCTAAGTAGATATATTTATGTATACACCTAATAATAATAGACAATTTATATATCGATAGTCAATCAGATATTTGATATCTCCCAAATGAAAGTGGTTAACATTAGTTAACGACTAGTCATTGGAAATCTCATCTCATATGAAATCAGGTGATGGGGAAACGAACCTTTCTATGATTGTCCCTAATCTCAAAAAATATCTTAACATGAAATCATATCCTTCAGAGTTATACAAATTGAGGACCTCCCAAACCGATACACATATGTGCCAGGTCCTATGCTGTTATGACTGATCAATTGTTATGTGACTTTTTTTATTTCATTAAAAAATGAATCTACTTCAGTGAGATAGTTTAATTCTCTTTATTTAACTTTGGTGAACGTTTGGGCCGGATTATCACGTAATTTATCTGATGAAAATATACGAAATTCAACTAGTGTCATTGATAACAAATTATGTTTGAAGAATGATGCACACCGACCACTGCATCGAGATAATGCGCCTGCATATTCTACTCACTATGATCACTCATCATCAGTTTGTTTCGTAATCTGATAACCGCTTTAAACAATCCCTTCTACTGGCCGAACTAAATATCCGGTGATTGCTGTTTGTTTCCAAAATAAAAACTGGTCACACGAGGTTGTTGCTAGAGCGATATGAATATATGAAACATCTGAAAAGTTTAACTCCTAAAGATTTTTTGAGTAATTAAAATGGAGGTGGAGCAAGTGTGTATTGTCACAAACTGGCAGTATTTGTGAAAGGAACAATTAATGTATCATAAATTACGTAAAAGAAATTTCTTTAACTTCGCGTATTTGTCGGACAAACTCCTCAGTAATACGCATTCATGAACCCAGGATCTTCATAACTCGAGACTGGTACTTAAGCTTTAAAAATACAATAGATTAATAAACTGTTAATTTCCTTTTTCATTTCGTAATGAATACACATCTCAGTCCTACAGGAGGTTGGTCGCGGCTCGGATAGCCTAGTGGTAATGTCTCTGACTGTGAAGCTGGGTGACACGAGATCGAATCCGCCAGGAAGCACCAGTTCCCTCAACATTACAGGCACACCTTATTGACGAGTGCCAAGTAGCACGAAACCCGGGTCGAGGGTTTCCTGTCGACTACCTCCAGCCACCATCTAATCTGAATACACAATAGGACAAAAAACACTCGTCAAACACGTTTATTCTCTTAATCCATCTCTTCTACTTCACGCTTGCACAACGCAACTAAATACAGACTAACAGTATTAAACCAAAACAACAAAAAGTAAACAAGACAAATAATTAAGGTAGTTCAAAAGATAAATTAATGATGAATATATTGGAACACACACACACACACACAATTCATATGTTCTATGCATGAATTCCAATACTTAATAATGTAAGTACTGAAGATGTAATCGCTGCATTATCTAATAAAAACAAATTTTACATGCAAATCAAAAAAGAAAGAAAGAAAAACACACCATGGAAATGAGTTTCAAAATGAGAAAGATGATCTGTGTGTGAAATCGGAAATGAGAGCACACATGTTAAACTGGTTGAAATGAATAATATTCTTAAAATACCTAGAATTGTTGTTATGTTTACAATAAATAAAAGTAATGAATGTATAACTCTAGAATAATAGACCATGAATCGTTTGATAATGTCTAATGACGTGAATAGTTGTTGTCAAATCTCATACACATGAACAGAAGTAAGTTTCAATTACAGGGATTGAATTTCTTTTTAGATGATATACGTCATGTGGAAAAGAGGAAGTAGCGAGAGAGAGAGAGAGGGAAAAAGGACAACTTGGTAACTCAACATTCCATACATTTTCAAGAAAGCTCAACCCCCCCCCACCCAGCTCCCAAATCTCTTGATGTATAACAACAGTAGGAATATACCTACGAGTAAATAAGTGATGAAGCAGTTCTAAAGAGAAAATCTAAACACTTATGCCATGCACGTACACACATACACACACACAGAGACAAATCATAAAATATATAAAAGAAAACTATAGAACTGTAAACTACAAAAGTTAAATTACTATTAAATGTAAAAGATCATTAGTTTATACGTTAATAATGATGTATATATATGCTTTCAATTGAATGAATAGATGTGAACAAGGAAGACAATTTGTGAACATCATCATCAACAAACAAACAAACAAAAAAACAGTACAAAAAAATAAATCAATATATTTGAAGGATTGAGGATGAATAAAGACTAGAATAGAATATATTCCATAATGAATTCATTTCTTTATGATCAACAGTGATCAACAGTTCTGTCTATCATTCTATGTTAATGGATCATTTGAAGTCATGGGTTCAAAAAAACAAACAAATCTTATGTCTATATGTATATAATAAATGCATTGTGAACATATTAGAATGAATTAGCTAAGAAGATTTGACTATTTTAATCAACAAACATATGGAACAAAACACAAAACAAACTGATATCATAAAGCGGAATAAAGAAAGAAAGAACGAACGAACGAATGAATGAATCACGCACTTTTGACTAGATGTATGTATAACTGCTGCTTATTTGTTTCTTTTTTCTTTTATTATCATTCTTCTTCTTCTTTGAAGTGTGTGTTGAAGTTAACGACCACATTCAGAACACATAATCATATCATCACTGGTAAGAAAACCTCTACCGACTAAATTACAATTACATTTTCCACATAGAAAACATTCTGAATGCCAATGACGATCTTCAAATGAAATAAATTTACAACCACCAAATCCTATATTTAAAAAAAAAATCGGTAAGAAATATGTTTTACATAATATGGGTACAATCGATATCATATCAAAACAAAAGTTGGTAACGTTGGTTTGATCGAACAAACAAAAAAACAACGTTGATTTAAGAAGTGGTGTAACTATGTATTCTTCAAGTCAAATAAAATGGAAATTGATGCCAATTATTCTTGAAAGTGTTATATTCTCTGAGCTGGATGATACGGCTTAGAATTAATTATCTATTTATTTTAACACATAGATATTGGTACAAGGAGGCACCTAATACATATGCGCCACACAAATCTCATTCTTAGAGGGTCCCACACCCCAAGTCTTCGACCTGAAGGCCTGATCCACAAGGCAGTGGAGCAACGTAAGGAGATGCAATCCCATGGTAGCCAGTGACCAACAATTGGTTCATACGTCATTTGTTCCTGTAGGATACTGGAGCCCATGTGCACCATTGGTTTGGAATCCGGTTAAAGCTTCAGACAATCGCTTTTTGTCCTCTCAAGTTCGTAAACAACAGTAATGCCACGAGAAGGCAGTGAGTAGAACTTCCCTGGCAGAGGCTATATACGTGTGGCCATGTGAGAGCATTTCGAGAGGGAGAGTGGACTCTCCCCAATCTCGGCCGTACCAGGGCGTTTGGGGGCTTAGAAAGTCAAACACCTATCGAACTTTCATCCTCAGCTACAGATATTCCTCTTCCTTTTTAAAAAAATCAATACTATTTAGAAAGTTTTTGATTGGGTTAAAAATCATTCTAACGAATTTAGGAAACATGGATGAACATCATCTATCATGTGACACAAACAAGTAAAACTATTCAACAAATCTCATCTATCAGTATAAGATTGTGGAGATTGGAATCACAAACATATAGAAGTTAGACCGTTGAAAATCCGAAAGCATTGGACAGAAGAGGGAGGTTGATTATGAGTACAGTGGTCTTGAGTGCTGTGAGAGGTATGAGGGCGGTTATCGTTTTTCGGTTGCCCACACCGTGGAACGGTTCTTCTGGAAGTACCTCAGGAAATTAGATTAAAGGCGGTCTTAATGACCGGAGAGCGTGACCACAGTGCCCAAGGGGCAACTGATTAAGGTCAGTCACACACGACCCTTATTGTGAGTAGTTTTCGTGTTAGCTCCGTACTTGTTCAGATCTTACCGTCGAAGACAGATATCCGTGGGATAAGGTAAGGTGTGTATTTTTAGGGTCGAACTTTTCTAATCCCACACCTCCTTGTGGGAAGGCAGCATCGCTGTCATCCTGGTTGTCTGAAGGAAACACCTTATTACTGTCACACCTCTGTACAGTCAGCAGTACGACTTCTCCTTCGGACCTTGGGTTTGTTGCTTTTAGTCTTACCGCTCTTCAACCGACCTGTCTGACATGGTAGGACCTTGAGGAACGGTTGTTCCAGCCAGTATAGCTCGGTTGCTTCATCACGATAAGCAAGCCCGGCCACCACGTCAAGGTAGCAACAACGGTCGGGAAGCATTAGACAGACGATTGGTCTTACTTTAAGACTCCACAGCAGTGCATATATGCGATCCCTCAACCGGGAATCAAACGCAAGAACCTGTCTTGAGCGCGAACACTTAACCTCTTGATTTGAATTAAAGATAGATAAAAAGATAAAACGTGAATGTATCTACCCCGTTATGAACGATTCCGAGCCATGACACTGAAAGATACTCTTTTTCTGGTTACTTGAAGACAGACACATTAAACAACATAGACATAGAAACAAATAAACACTTAATATCCATATTCTCCTGTCAAGTTTCAACAAACACTCCTTCCCTTCACCTACCAAAATAAACACTAAAATCTGTGTTTTAATACTACCGTATCCAATTTAGTTAATACAGTACTAGTTGTCGATTAGTCTAATTGTTAATACTATCAAGACATAATCTAATCTGTATCGATAGATAGTAGGGATCAATTTCTTTTTCTTTTTTTTAGGAGAGTAGACATGATGCTAGAAAATAGATTCTATATTTACAATAGCTGAGTTATATATAATCAAAAAAATTATTAATAACCAACTAATTAACTAAGATTTCTTTTTAAGTCATCTTCATAGTGAACTGCCCTCAAATGCTCTGGTACGACCGAGAGTGGGAAGAGTCCGCTCTCTCTCTCATAGTGCTCTCACATGCCCACGTGCATACAGTCACTGACAGGGAAGTTCTACTCACTGCCTTCTCGTGGCATTACTCTTGTTTACGAAATTGAGAAGACGAAAAGCGATTGTCCGAAGCTTTAACCAGGTTAGTGGATATGGAGGACCCATCTAGGGGAGCTGGAAAACCCTGATTCCAAACCAATGGTGTAGTACATAGGCTCCAGGATCCTGAAGGAACAGATGGCGTATGAAACAATCGTTGGTCACCGGCTACTATGGGTTTGTATCTCCTGACGTTCCTCCACCACCTTGTGGATTAGACCTTTCGGTCGAAGTCTTCGAGTATGTCCCTCTAATAAAACTAAACTGATTTCGTTTGAGTACCCGGGCAGTATATCAGCCCTCAAACGAATCGAATGATTTATGTGTTTAAACAAAGAAATCATGGCGAACTAATAATCTTACAATTTTTCTAATCAATACACTTAATGAAAAAATATATTTTTCAAATGGATTGAAAAATCTTAACAGGTGCATCCACTCTTTGTGTTCTCCCAAATCCTAATCCCCTGAATCCTCCTTGTCTCTTTTTTTCTCTCTCCGAATTTATTTCACTGGATTATACTCTTTAAATAACATCTTCAAATCCTAGTCTTTCCGATTACTGCTTATACTCTTACTCCCTTTACCACTACGGGATTTGAATCGACAACTGCGTCTCTGTGTTAATATGGTGTGGCAACTCGAACTGATGTGCGTACGTACGTACGAAGTTCTACGTTGTTACTGACTGATTGACTAACGAATATAAAGAAGACAAAATTTAAAAAAAATAGGATAAAAATACTTTTCTTTTATAGAAAAGAATAGCAAATAAACAAAAAAGAGAAACTTTACCAGTAATTGGTTTGGTACATTTTGTACATTTTTTAGCAAATAATTCACCATAACAATCAGCACAATATGGTTGTTCATCTTTAGAAGTGAATTTTAATCCTGCTAATTGTTTAGAACAACTAGTACAAGTGAAACATTCTTTATGCCATGGATTCCCTTTATATGTAACTCCACCACGACGTATAACCTGATAATATATATATGTAGTAACAACATGTAGACATTTAGAAAATGTCAATTATTTCTTTTTCAGAAAAAGAAAACATGGCTGAAATGTTCAAGTTTAATGCCAATCAATACCTTTTGTTAAAGAAAAGTTGTTCGTTTTAGGTTAGAATATAAATGGGCGAAATGTTTTATTTAAAGAGTTGAATGAATCCAGTTACTACAAGTCAGAAGAAAGTCATACATAAAAAACTGGAATATTTGACATTAAGAGATTGATATATGTTATTTATCATTAAAATTAACATTGTTTTGATGAATATAGTCTGAGAAAATCAACAAAAGTAAACGATCAGAAGGGGTTCTGTGGAGATTTTAGAAGTTTCACTGATTGAAATCATGAGTCAATTGAAGCTAGACCAACATGGAAAACCTGGAAGCACTGGACGGCCGTCTTGTCCTAATATGGGACTCTAGTTGGTTAAGCGCCTGGCGCGAGACTGATAGGTCTTGGGTTCGAATCTCGACGGGGTGCGGGATCGTGGATGCGCACTGCTGAGGAGTCCCATACTAGGACGAAACGGCCATCTAGTGCTTCCAGGTTTTCCATGGTGGTCTAGCTTCAATTGACTCATGATTTCAATCAGTGAAAAGTAAACGATGTTAAGTATGGCTAAGTTCTAGAACCTGACAAAGAGCCAATATATATATTTACACTCAAACCTGAAACCCGTTTGGTTTTCTCGAGATTGTTCTTCAACAGCTTCAGTTAAACATTGGATAATTATTAAGGTTAATGTTCTAGATACTATAATCGTCGATTTACGTACTATTTTTCTACCCTCTTATAACTTAGACAATCAGGGATCGAGACCGGTCAGATAGGATCACATTCACTCCCTAGATTTTAGTTATTATCCCAGTCAATCCAACAGTTAAAATTCGATCTCCAAAAATGATCCATCAGGAACAGCTCCTGTCCCTTGTTTTAGATTAGGTATGGCTGAGATAAAAAAACATAGAATGAGGAACTATATAAACGACAATTACAATCTAAACACAAGAAATACATTTCAAAAGGAGCAATGTGATCGAAGGATTGGAAATTAAGAATGATATTAACCAGACGATGTTAAGCAAGATAGAGAATGAACGAACTTTGTTTTCTTTCCATAAAAAAACCCATTTACCAAGTACAGATTTATGGGGTTCAAACCTACAACCTATTGGTTGAAAGTCGTATGACTTAATCATGATGTGTCATTGTCTTCTAATATTCAATGAACCTTTAGCTGGAAAACCACACAATTTTATCTTGTTTTCCATGTAGTTATTATTGATATTCAGAGAATAAAATTTTATGAAATTTTGTAAAATGACAAAAGAAAAACATAAAACCACTAGTTTTTCCAAACTATTCATCATTCAGTCAGTCAGCTACAACGTAGGACTAGGCACATATGTGCATCGGTCCAAGTTGCCATACCTCACTCATTAACACAACAAGATGAACACCGAATTCATAAAAGTAGTTAATTCAGAGGTGGTGATATATGAAAGAAAGATTGCATATATGGATATAGTATAGGAAGAAAGAATTAGTTAGTAGAAAGAAAGGTATGAAGCGATTTTAATCTCTTAGTTTAAGGGAAGACAGAGAGTGTATACACTGACGCCATTGTGATCGATTCTGAGCCACGTCACACACAGTCTCCAACCATTGGTTACGAAAGTCACGCGGACCCCAACCAAGTAGTCTGCATCTACCAACATGGCTCAGACTAGAAGTTAGTGACTTCAGGCATTGACGCCACGTTTTGGTTTGGCCGCCCCTAACTTTCTTCCAACCATCTCGTCGTTGTAATCATTACAATAAATAATAGAGTAGGAAAGTAATGAATGTAAACCTACTTCTGAACATTTAGTACAACGTTGAGCATATTTCGCTTCATAACATGGGACACATACAACTTGATTTTCTCGTGGAATAAAACTTTTCGCACCAATTGGTTGTTTACATTCAACGCATAAAAAGCATTCTTCATGCCATTGTTGTCCACGATATTCATATTTACGCATTCCAGCTTTGAATACACCTTGACAACCATCACATCGTGCAGCAAAACGTTCATCATAACAATCAGAACAATATAATTGTTCTTCTTTTGTAGCAAATGGTCGATCAGCTAATGAAGTAGTACAAGCAGAACATTTGAAACATTTCTCATGCCAATGTCTTTCTTTAAATGAAAGATCCTGGGAGAAAATACAACAACAAAAAAATAATGTTAAATTATGTAATGTAGTCAATTCTATTAAAGATTGACAACACAATTGGAACAAATACACTAATGAAAAGAGATTGGATCCAATCTCTTTTGGAATGCAGCAAAATACAACACGTCTAATGGATAGAACAGTGGTGTGAAAGCTGAATGTTAAATATTAAACTAGTTCATTTTTAAGAATTTAGCATGCATTCAATTGAACACATAAATTTAAAGAGAAAAAAAGATGAGTAAAAGTATAAGTATGTTTGTGTAGTAAAGAAAAGAAGGAACTAACATCATGTTTATGCATAAGAAACTCTATTGCTCCCACTCACAAATAGTTAGTGACAAAAAACAAAACAAAAAAATGATCGCTATACATTTGATTATCTAGATGATAAGGAGAAAAGAGGAAATCAATGAGTGCATAGAAGGAATATATTCCAACACAATAATAAACTGATATCCATTAAAAAAAAGGAAACACATGAAAATCACAGGGAGCACGATTACGACGATACAAAGCGATACCATGTAACATTGGCATCATAGGCGTTAGGTGAAGGATGAATAGATCTTTTGATGGATTTTCACCTGCCTTGATTGTATCACATTGCCATGCTTGTCCGACGCTATAACCAGGACCAAGAATATATGGCATTGGACAACTTGGATGAAATCTAACATTTGATTGTTGAGATGATGTATAAACTGCATTTCGTACAGGTTCTGATGCATCCCGAACAAGTGATGTAATGCCAACTTCCGGTTTTAACATACCCTAATAGTTATGTACAAGTAGTATATAAGAATGTAAAAAGTTTTTAACAGATTGTAATTGTACAGAATGAACTGTACTAGATGATGTTATAAATCGAGTAAAATATCACAAGTTCACAATGTATTTTTGACATCTAAAATGGAAACTTGGAAGAGCATATTGATTAGTGAGTAGTATCATTCGGGTAACTGATAAGGATAGTGATGATTCTACTCTGGATTAAATCGAGATACAATTTGTGAAATAAAAACACACAATTAAGACTTTTGATGGAAAATACTCAAGTTTATTAAACATGATATATCGTATAGAAAATCAGTTAAGTGAATACAGCATCGCCTACAAAATAAAGAATTCGAAAGCCACTTACATAATATCCACCATGATAAAGGTATTAACACTTATTTACAGAAAATTATTCACTTTTAGATACCAAAAACTACCAAAAATATAGTTAAGTAATATTTTGATTAACAAATGGTTCACAATACTCAAATATCATGTAATTATATAAGTATTAGAATACTTATTTATTTATTTTGACACATAGAGATTCGTACAAGGAGGCACCAAATACATATGCGCCACACGGATCTCATTTGATATGTGTGAGGGCTGTGATACTGACCGGGTGCCCAAATCGAAGCAGGTGGTTTCTTAGGTGGCCACACCTGGAGCTTTCGACTTGAAGGTCTGATCCACAAGGCAGTGGAGCAACGTAAGGAGATGCAGTCCAATGGTAGCCGGTGACCAACGATTGGTTCATACACCATTTGTTCCTTCAGGATACTGGAGCCAATGTGCACCATTGGTTTGGAATGAGGGTTTTCCAACTCCCCTATGTAAACTCTCCATGTCCACCAACTCGGTTAAAGCGCCGGACATTCGCTTTTCGTTCTTTCGATTTCGTAAGCAACAGTGATGCCACGAGAAGGCAATGAGTAGGACTTCCTTGGAAGAGGTTATATACGCGTGGCCATGTGAGAGCATTTCGAGAGGGAGAGCGGACTCTCCTCACTCTCCGCCGTACCAGGGTATACAACCAGTAGCGTTGTTAGTACGATCACTTTTTTTACAAGATAATAGAAGCTAACACTAATCTTCGCATTCTGCACTCCCAGTTAAGCATTGTTGAATTACCTCCATCTATTTGTTCGTACAGTGCATAATAACATACTGTCTTGAACTGTGTAATTATCTAATATACCGTACCGATTAAAACATGCATTAAAGTCAATACAACTGTTTTAACATCCTGAGTTTTCATTTTCTATCATTCTAACTATTAAACAATCAGCTGATCTTATTATGGCGAGACTATAATTTATAGACGAACCAATCCGATATCAAATAATGAGTCACGAATTTGGGCGCGGAATTCATCTATACATTTGGCTAAATAGAGTTTTGGCATCATAGCTGATGTCAGTTCGTGATGAAAACCGTAAATCTAATTTTTAACCCTAACCATCAACTGTGAATGAGAATTCTAACTGCTTTATAACCCTCATTTAGTCCTAATTAGTAGTTACTTCAGCGTCGCTCAAAAGTTGTCTATAAATTAGTCTCACCCTTGTTTGGTAAGACTGAACAGATTTTTCACCTGTAAATGTAAGTCAAACTATAGAATGATTTTACTACGATAAAAACCATAACCTCAAACTGAAAGCCATTGCTACCAGGAACTTCGAAATAAATAAACAGATAAACATTGCTAGTTTTACTTTAGTATAGTACAGTGAAGTTTATAAAGAGACTAATGAGACTTTAACTAAATAAACGACAGATTAATTTTAGGAAGAAAAACATCCTGAAGACTAGCAAATTGCATGATAAATTAGCTCAGTTGCCAGGCATAAGTTCATATATTTGGAGTCGAGCAGCATCCTGAATAGAAAATCTAATGAAACTAACTTGCACAAACCGAAGTAAATGGAGAGGGATTCAAATCTGCAACTTGTAGATAAAAGCTTAACGCCTTAGCTACTGATCCAGTATTCCACATCAAGGTTCGATTTCGCTGCAGTCTCTAAATGAATGCTTGGGTTTTCCGATGAGCTGATTGACGCAACTATCAAGGCTGTAGTTAAACTAAAGCTTCCTAGTGTTATATTTTTTCTCTTAACAGAAAAAAACGAGTAATGTAACTCCATACGCCAGGAAATATGATAGTCACTAAAGCTAGAAAAACGAAAGAATTTAATTCGTATAAGAGATAGGAGAACACCTCAATAATTAGGATAAAAGCCGATTGAGTCGTTTTAAACGACAACCACGAGTTCGAATTTAGCTTTCTGAACAATTCATCAAAGATCAAAAAGTAACTTTACTTACAGTAAAATATGTACATATTAAATTCCCCTGATAACAGATGAGTAGTAGCGAATTGAACTATTGTTTCATCAATGTACAAACTCCTGGTCAACATTAAAGATAACCTCAAAAGTAAAACTTTCATTTCAACAGATTAGGAATATTTCATTTATTTATGAAATAACATTACATTACATTACGGAAGTACTACAAAATTAACTTTTTAACGGCTAATTCAATATGCATTGCTTGGGATTCAACATTTTATCATCCTCAGTCAGTCAGCTACAACGTAGGATCAGGCACATATGTGCATCGGTCCAAGTTGCCATACCTCACTCATTAACACAACAAGATGAACACCAGATTCATAAAAGTAGTTAATCCAATGGTGGTAAGACATAAAAGAAAGATTGCAATAAGGATATAGTATAGGAAGAAAGAATTAGTTCGTAGAAAGAAAGATATGAAGTGATTTTAATCTCTTAGTTTAAGGGAAGACAGGGTGTGTATACACCGACGCCATTGTGATCGATTTTGAGCCATGTCACCAACAGTCTCCAACCATTGGTTACGATAGTCACATGGACCCCAACCAAGTAGTCTGCATCTACCAACATGGCTCAGACTAGAAGTTGGTGACTTCAAGCATTGACGCCACGTTTTGGTTTGGCCGCCTCTAACTTTCTTCCAACCATCTCTAATACCGGTTAGCATTGTCATCCTCAAGAAGATTGTGGTTCGAGAAGAAAATGAAAATAATATATCTAAGGCAAAAACTGAAAATGTTATCATGAATAGTCATATAAAACCCCATATATGTCTAGTAGTAGGAATTCTATTAAGTTTTACTAACAAGAAACAGACATATATACTAATGAACAGTAGATTTATTATGTCGACATAATGATATTAAACTATTTTGACAATGCATTAAGAAAATACCACACTAGATGGACTATTTCTAATTGATTCCATTAAAACTACATATTAAAACGTGACATTGGGAAAGTAAAACAAAATTCTACCCTATAATCAAACATATATGTATTCCTAACAGAGAATACAAAGTAGCTACGACGATATATTCGGTCTTATTTCAACATATGAAACTTTCACTTGTGTATCCTTAAATCATCATGAACAAATCAATAAATGCATACGTCTTTTATCATGGTTACAGCCTGTGCGAATTGCTGAGCCTAGTGAATGAGTAAAACAATCCAATCTATAGAGAATGACTGACATTCCAAAATTAAATTGTAACCTATAAATACCAATGCAGTTTTCTACACAAATAACAAGTAATCAATGTACGGCTTAAAAAAATCTAATGAGACTATAATTTATAAACAAACCAATTTGGTATAGGATAACAGGTCTCGGATTTAAGCGCGAACTTCACTCATCCATTGGGCAAAATAGAGTTTTGGCATTATCACTTATATCAGTTCGTGATGAAAAATCCCTAAATCTAATTTCTAATCTTAACCATCAATTGTATATCATAATTCTAATTCCTCACACACTGGCTTATAACTCTTATTTGATCTTAGGTATTACCCGAGCTCTCAAGTTTGAGGAAACTCTCAAAGTCAAATGATCTTCACCAATGTTTGGGGAATTCTGGGGAAACCTCCAAAGTTAAATTACCTTGACCAAGATTAAAAAGGGGATTTTGGGGAAATCCTCCAGGTCTGGGGGAATTTTGGGGAGCTTCGGTAAGTTAACACTGTCAAGGTCAGTTTAGCGTCACTCAAACATCGTTCATAAATGATAGTTTCACCACCACCAACAACAAAAAAAAAACTAAATCAAACTATACATTGAAATTATTTCATAAAATTAACTAACCTTTGAATCACAACCAATTTTTTCTTTACATTGTTCACATGTATTAGCAAATTTAGCTTCATAACAAGCTAAACAATGTGGTTCATCATCACGTAATATATAACGTTGTCCTGTTAATGATGCATCACAACTATGACAAGCAAAATGACCAGAATGATGTTCTTGATCCATAGCTCTAGTATATTCTTCTGAGAAAATAAGCTACAAACGATGATAAAGAAGAAAAAATAATAATAACAGGAGAACACTTGGCTAATTTGTATTTAGCTGGTTGGTGATACAAACACACACACACCATAAATAGGAGTCCTATTGAATAAATGAACCAATAAGAGATGTAGCATATGACCTTGTCTACACTGTTGTATTATTGAAGCAATTCTATTTACAATGAATATAGACAGGCTAGGCACACACATATAAAGATGTGCAATAAAGTTAGTCAATAACCAATCAGATTTCCGTTTTGTTTATGACATGGTCATCTCTCCCTCCCCTCTCTCTCTCTCTTTAATAGACCCATATTAAGTTGTCTGATCAGATTAACTAATTCATAAATTGGATTAGTCATACCCTAATTTCCGAGTTCAAGAATTTAGCTCCTGATTGGTTGAAAATGTTATGAAAAGTAGCTGCTTATAAACTATTGGTTGATTTAATTTTGTTATATAAAATGTAACAGCTACTTTTTAAAAGGTCGATATATGATTGGTGAATATTATGGATAAATATAACAAAGCTTGATTTAACAAGGCAGAGATGGCAGAGTTGGAACTGTCGATCACATGCGATGGGGTTGTTATTCGATATGTTTGTTCAATTGTGTTGTAGTATCAGTCAGAATATGGTAGTACCCAAGATATTTAATATGGAAGAACGTCTATTAAATCTACTCATCCTACTAAGTTGCAATTTCTCAGGAGTTAATCTATGGCCTTTTGAAAATCAGTCAAATAATAAACTTGTCAGTTTGTTTCAAGATAATAACAACGGGTCAACAATGATTATTTCTGGAATTTCAAATAACACGACTCGTGTTCTACACTTAAAGGAAGGAGGATTACTTAATTACGCCTGTTACTCCTAATAGAGCATAGGCTACCGACCAGCATTCTCCAACCCAAAAGGAAGGAGGATATATTTTTATTACTGATACCTAGATCTTAGGATCACTTCATGATGAGTCAGAATGTGGCACATTAATATGAAATCCTTCTAGTTAACACATACTCCAGTGCCAATGTCTTACATGTGTTGGTCCTAATGATAGAACTCAGGTGCTTTAAAGTACGAGGTGATCAGAGCTAGTAACTCATTGTTTGCAAGCTAAGTCTTTTATTTATATATAGGCGGCCTGTTTGAGCATCTGGGCTACCTGTTCCTGCCATCTAGATATTTCAACAAGTTATCTATTTTTCTTTGTTTTAATATATCATTATGTCTATTAATCGCACAACCTATTTTGCTGCGTTTCTGAAAAGTGTACAACCTTTCGTTGTCAAAGTTACAAAAAGCTCAAAAAGAGAGGATGTTGTTCGTGGCAATATACAACGAAAAGAATGTACATTATTCAGATGTTCATTTACTGAACTGTTAACATCTAGCTGGCGATCACTCAGTATTTATCGCGAGGACCGACCAAGAAGAAAGAAACGGAAACTTGTTGAAATACTTTGTGCTGAGAATTCTATATTGTACCAATAATATAATATTGAATAAAGCTAATAATAATAATAATAATCAGCTTATGGTACACAATTATATATATACTACTTCATAAGTATCAAACCAGTTAGTCTAGCTCTATGACCTACTTAATTGAGATTCGGCGGCAACTCCAGTGAATATGTATATATTATCTATTCGATTATCTCGGTTATTCAACAATTAATTTTCTTGTCTCGGCCGTTGTTGCTACCTTGATGTGGTGGTCGGTCTTGCCTATCGTGATGAAGTAGTCGAGCTATGCTGGCGGAACACTTGTCCCTCGAAGTCCTACCATGCCAGACAGGTCAGTTGAAGAACGGTAAAACTAAAAGCAACGAACCCAAGGTCCGAAGGCGAAGTCGTACTGCTGACTGTACAGAGGTGTGATAGTAATAAGGTGTTTCCTTCAGACAACCAGGATGACAGCGATGCAGCCTTCTTTTGATGGAGTTTTGTTCTCTGAGCTGGATGGTTTGGTCCAGCTCAGAGAACAAAACTCCATCAAAATCATCCACCTGAGCTACAAATCTTCTCCACCATGCAGCCTTCCCACAAGGAGGTTTGGGATTAGAAAAATTCGACCCGTAAAATACGCACTTCGCCTTATCCCACGGATATCCGTCTCCGGCGGTAAGGTCTGAACAAGTACAGAGCTAACACGAAAACTACTCACAATAAAGGCCATGTGTGACTGACCTCAATCAGTTGTCCCTTGGGCACTATGATCACGCTCTCCGGTCATTATGACCACCTTTAATCTAATTTCCTGAGGTACTTCCAGAAGAACCGTTCCACGGTGTAGGCAACCGAGAAACGATAACCGCTCTCATACCTCTAACAGTACTCAAGAATTTTCTTGAAAAATATTTTACCAAAACACCTTTAAATTATTACAACATTTAAGAATTCATAGAATAGAATATTTCTGCAAAAAATAGATTGGTTAACCTTAATTATACTTCGGGAAATGACTTACATGATCACATGTCACACAACGTGGACGTACTGATTGAGCATAATGTCGTAAACAATAAGGTCGGTTATTTAACCAAGCATATATATAATCAACTAAATATTCATGACATGTTGTACATCGAAAACAATTCAAATGCCAAGCTGGTGTATGATTTGAGGGCATGTTAGACATTTCTTCTATTAAAGAATGTTCTGGTTTAATTCGTATACAGAAATCATCAAAATGGATTATATTCGAACAATTTGTACATGTCTAGAAGTAAATTTATAAAAACATCTTCAATAATATGACAAGTAATAGAGAAAAAGTTGAACGAAATACCCAGTGACTTTATATATGCACATTAGATAAAACTCAATTTTTTTTTACTGAGATCATAAACCCGACCATCATTGAAAACCTGGAAACATTAGACGGCTGTTTCGTACTAGTATGGGACTCCTTAGCAGTGCGCATCCATGATCGCGCATGTGAGACTCGAACCATGGACCTATCAGTCTTGCGTGCGAACGTCTAACCTCTAGACCACTGAACCAGCATTCAGTGGTGTTAATATCTAGCTTCAACAAATCCACGAAATTGCGCGACTATCTCCCATTGAACTGAGGTAGACACCTGTCTCTACCCGACACACAAAGCAATTTATCAAAGTATCTATGTTCAAAACTGTACAATCTTATAGAAACTTCTATTCTGGAACATACAGTAGATACCATGATATTAAGCCTCAGATTCATCCTTTGACATTGTTTACAAAATCCAGTTAAAGATACCTACTTTACACTAGCTGATCATAACATCGAAACTGACCTATTAATGCAGAACAGTTTGTTAATTCTGGATTTTTATCATCACTATAGTTTTATCATATTCTTCTACTTTATCACAGTTATTAATTGACATTTTCGTATTCGTAACCACCTCCCGGTGTTGCTATGCGAATGATTTGATCAGTCATATTTCAAGTAGGTCGCATAAGTAAATGAAACTATTCGTTCAAATTTCAGCGAGAGTTCTTATATATTAACTCATCAAATTGCTAGGTGAAACGTTAGATTTACTTCGAATTCATTCTCTGAGATTTTACAGATACATTCTTCCTCTTTTATATCTCACATTAACTCGGCACGCAAATACTGTGAGAAAACATTAACAAAATCCTAGGGGCACTGGATAGTCGTTTCATCCTCGCATGGGACTCCTCAGCAGTGTGTATCCATGATTCCACTAGCGAGATTCGAAACCACGACCTATTGGTCTTGGGTGTTGACGCTTAAATTCTAGACCACTGATCTGAGATCCAACGGTGTCAGTGTCTAACTTCAACCACTCCACTAACATATATGATCATTAGACTGGACTATAGCTGATTGATATTGATGAATTTTATCAAATGAAATAAATTGTAGGCGTTTTGTTTTGAAGTTCAATCATGAAATCTTCATATGGTATATGACCATATTTGGGTTAAAGGTAATTGACAATTTTTGTCAAGTTTTCTTTATTGTTACATCAATCAATAATTTAACTATGAAAAATTCAAAATCAATAAACTGTCTTATTAAACTAAGCCTATTTGAAGATTCTTGTAACCGACTGGATAATATTACTACTAAGCTATTTGAACCATCATTGATCTTGTGTAGACTACAGATAATCGTACGTTAAGTGATCATAATGACATTAATACCCAGTGTCATGTTGTCAATCGGTAATAAGGATGAGGGATATATGACATCAGCTCCACTGAACCCACCCAACATCGAAGCAGCACCCACGGACCTCCCAATCAATGTTGGCCCACCAACAATTGAAGAAATCAGCATGGCCATCAGACAAATCAAGAGTGGCAAAGCAGCAGGACCGGACAACATTCCATCAGAGGCACTAAAAGCAGACGTAGCGGCAACTGCAAGGATACTCCACATTCTCTTCAATAAGATTTGGGATGAGGAACAAGTACCAGAAGATTGGAAAGAAGGACTACTGATCAAAATACCGAAGAAAGGCGATCTCAGCAAGTGTGATAACTACAGGGGCATCACTCTCCTCTCAATACCGGGAAAAGTCTTCAACAGGGTATTGTTAAACAGGATGAAGGACTGCGTAGACGCCCAACTTCGTGACCAACAGGCAGGATTCTGTAAGGATAGATCGTGTACAGACCAACTCCCAACTCCACGGATCATTGTGGAACAATCAATTGAATGGAATTCATCACTCTACATCAACTTCATTGACTACGAAAAGGCGTTTAATAGTGTGGACAGAACAACACTATGGAAACTTCTTCGACACTACGGCGTGCCTCAGAATATGGTCAATATCATACAGAATTCATATGATGGATTACACTGCAAAATTGTGCATGGAGGACAGTTGACAAAGTCGTTCAAAGTGAAGACCGGTGTTAGGCAAGGTTGCTTACTCTCACCCTTTCTCTTTCTCCTGGTGATCGACTGGATCATGAAGACGTCAACGTCTGAAGGGAAGCGCGGGATACAATGGACATCTAAGATGCAGTTGGATGATCTAGACTTCGCAGACGATCTGGCCCTTCTATCCCAAACGCAACAACAAATGCAGGAGAAGACGAACAGTGTAGCAGCAACCTCAGCAGCAATAGGTCTCAATATACACAAAGGGAAAAGCAGGATTCTCCGATACAACACGGCATGCACCAATCCAATCACAATTGACGGAGAAGATTTGGAAGATGTAAAAACCTTTACGTATTTGGGTAGCATCATTGACGAACAGGGTGGATCTGATGCAGATGTGAAGGCGCGGATCGGCAAAGCAAGAGCAGCATATTTACAACTGAAGAACATCTGTAACTCATAACAACTGTCTGTCAACCAACACCAAGGTCAGGATTTTCAATACAAATGTCAAGACAGTTCTACTGTATGGGGTAGAAACCTGGAGAACTACAAAAGCCATCATCCAGAAAATACAGGTGTTTATCAACAATTGTCTACGCAAAATACTTCAGATCCATTGGCCGGACACTATTAGCAACAACCAACTGTGGGAGAGAACAAACCAGATCCCAATGGAGAAAGAAATCAGGAAGAAGAGCTGGAAGTGGATAGGACATACATTGAGGAAAGCACCCAACTGCGTCACAAGACAAGCCCTCACATGGAATCCTGAAGGTCAGAGGAAAAGAGGAAGACCAAAGAACACATTACTCCAGGAAATGGAAATAGTCATGAGAAAAATGAACAAGAATTGGATGGAATTAGAAAAGAAGGCCCAGGACAGAGTGGGTTGGAGAATGCTGGTCAGCGGCCTATGCTCCATTGGGAGTAACAGGCGTAAGTAAGTAAGTAAGTAAGATATATGGCATTAGTTACTGATATTTTAAACATATTACATGCTTGTGTTCATACCTTATCTCAAGGTTAAGTGTTAGATGATAAATTATAGTCGAGATACTCTACCAGAGAAACTCGATTAGGTAACTAATCAAGGTCTCAACCTACGTGTTTTGGTCTGAGTCTACCAACGATTTGTTCACCTAGTGGTTCACTGACACTAATTGCAGTTTCTTATTAATATCTTAGTCTTTCCGATCACATAACTAGTTGGGATTGCATGTTTGTTTATGTTGGACGTCAATGATCACAACACTATCGTTTCGATGAAATCAAGTATCAATCAATAATTTCTATCAATATTATTGTGATGATAGTCAAGCCATTTGTTTTATGTAAAGAAGGATGAAGTTAATATAAGATCAGAGATTCTCCTAAAATCTTTAACTCATTACTTAACTAGGACTTATGTTGTTTTATACTGTAGTTTCATTAAATCAGTCAACTAAAACTTTTGTTTTCATTACCTGTCCATCTTTGTCATTCATATGTTCTACTAATCCAATACCAAAATCATGAAAATTACGAAAATTTTTAAAACGGTTCGCTTCAATTAATTCATTTTCTAAGTTAGGATTTGAATCTTTTGAATGATGCCATAATTCTTCAATTGTTACATTTGGTTTACGATCTTGTAATGGTATTTGTTTTCTAAGACGTTGACGTCTAATATGATCAGCAACTTCACCATGTGGTAATTCATCCTTTGGTAGACTATTCAAAAATGAGTTCACCTTAGATCGAAAAAGAGATAAGTATATTATTATCATTATCATTACCGCTATTATTATTCTTAACTAATCGATATCACTTGGGAAGCTAATAAAATTTGGTGGTATTAAATATTAGTTGTGTTGTTCAAGTTTGGGAATTTATATCAACGGATTACTGTAACCTCGTAATAGAATGAAACCAAACATCCTCACTATTTATAGTAAGGTTCTATACCTACAGACCATTGAATATGAAACACACGAACTCAAAGTTTAGACTTTAATCAACTTGGAAGGATTTTCAACGGTTGCCCAATAAACTTAACTAAACCCGAAACCTAAGGCTTTCTGTAAGTGATCATGCAGTCCGTGTCAAGACCTAGACATCACAAACACAAAGATACTATGATGATAACATATTTCAGTAATCTATCCTCTTGACCTTCTTCGACCAGCCCGTATAAGATACAGTATTATTTATTGGTACCAAGTAGATATGCGTCATATAAATCATCCGATTTTTGTGAGGGATAAGATAATGCCCGGGTGCCCAAATCGGAGCAGATGGTTTTCATAGCGGGCCACACCTCAGCCTTCGACCTAAAGGTCTAATCCACAAGGCAGTGGAGCAACATTAGGGGATGCAGTCCCATGGTAGCTGGTGACCAACAATAGGTTCATACACCATTTGTTCTTTCAAGATCCTGGAGCCCATGTACAGCATTGGTTTGGACTGAAGGTTTTCCAAATCTCCTAGGTGGATCGATCGTCCGTATCCACCAACCCAGTTAAAGCGCCGGACATTCGCTCTTCGTGCTCTCAAGTTCGTAAACAATGGTGATGCTGCGCGAAGGCAGTGAGTAGGACTTGTGTAGTAGTGTTTGTATGCACGTGGCCATGTGAGAGCATTTCGAAAGGGTCATTTGGGGGCAAAATATTACAGAGTTGATCAATGTAGCTAATAAGTAATTTTCATTACAAATTATGGTATCACTTAAAAGTAGAAGACTGCGATTCTGATTCATCTCAACCTGAGATTATTATAGTAATGCATACCTACCGAATTAATTAGTCTTAGTCTTTTCAATGGTTGAGATCATGAGTCAGTTGAAGTTAAACCACCATGGTAAACCTGAAAGCACTGGAAGGCCATTTCTTCTTATTGTGTGACTCCTCAGTAGTACGTATCCACGATTCCTCCTCGCAAGATTCCGATTTAGGATCTATCAGTCTCACGCGTGAGCCCTTAACCAACTAGATCACTGAGCCAGCCGAAATCCAATGTTTCTCATGTCTAACATCAACCAATCCACGAAATTGAGCAACACATCCATCATTGTTCTCAGTGAGTTACTATCTCACAATAGTCCTAGTTTATGAGTGATTTCAGTAGTCAGTGACTTCATTGACTGAAGTCACGTTTTGGTTTGATCATTTCTATCTTTCTTATTACATTAAGGTAGTATGCATATGTAACATCATTATAATAATAATAATAATACTAATCTTACCTCTACTGGTTTAACACCAATAGGTAACCAATGTAATCCAAATTGTTTAGCCAAATTTTGTGCATCCATATATTCATCATAGAATGATGATTGATTTAAATCTAATTGATCTAATATTGATTGATTAGTAAAATCATCAATATCATGTTCATAATATGCACAATGACATTGTGTACATAACATTCTATAAGAAAGAATAGAGAGATATAATTTTTACTTTGATTACCTCCATGAATGTTTCATGAAACCAGGACATTTGGATCCACATTTTAAACATGCTTTAGTATTATCTTGATCATAAGCCATAAGGTAGCGTAAATCTAAAGTGATAAGATGAACAGTAAGGTGTAAAGATTGAAGATTCATTGATATAAACAATAGAAATAAAGAAAGTTTGTTGAACTTCCTTCTTGTGTTGGGGGTATTGTTTACAAAATTGAGAGAATGAAAAGTGAATGTCCAATGATTTAACTGGGTTGGTGGATACAGAGAGTTCATCTAGGGGAGTTGGAAAATCCTAATTCCAAACCAATAGTGAACATATGCTCTAGGATTCTAAGGAAGCAAATGGCGTATGAACTAATTGTTGGTCACTAGCTACTATGGGACTGTATCTCCTTACATTGCTGCACTGCCTTATGGATCAGACTTTTAGATCGAAGGCTCCGGCCGTGGCCTCTGCTTCGATTTGGGCACTTGGGCAGTATCCCAACCCTCACATAAATCGAATGATTTATGTGGCTCATATTTATTTGGTGCCTTATTGTACCAATGTTTATGCGTTTAAATAAATAAATAAACAAATATTAACTAATAAGCACAGACAATTTAACACAGAAATTTGTTTCATTGAAATCATGAATCGATCTACATGAGACAATCTGAAAGCATAGGACAGTTATCTCGTCCTTATATGGTACTTCTCATTTGTATACATCTACTTTATCACAAGCGGGAATAGAACCCAATACCTCCGGTTAGGGAACTCTCCTTCACTTGGGAATCTTGTTTTCATCATAATCTTGTTACATGAATGGCTCATCGGTAACATCTTAAACTATGAAGCAGAATTGAGATATCAGTTCGACTAAGATTGTAACTACACTGTACTTCCAACTCCTATCCATCTGACTAACAACTTGATTTCGTTATCATGTGATGTTAAAAAAGTACCCCTTAAAATCTAACAAATTCTTTTATTGTAAAACAATTTCATAAGAATAACTTACTTGTATGATCAAATAATCGACTTTTTTTCTCGTTAAAAACTACTAGCCACCACTAATAAGTAGTATATTTATTACCAAAGGGTTTATTTATTCAATAAGAAAAATATACGTGTAATATGTGGTAATCCTTTGTAGAAATAAGTTTAAATGATGTTCGAATTGATCGATTAATTGATTTCTGGCTGTCTGTCACAACGTAGTATGTACGTATATATATATATATATATATACATACAAATGGAGTAAGTGATCGATTCATTAACTAATTAGTAGATAGTATCAGAAAGGGTTTTATGGAGATTGTAGTAATTTCAACAGATGAGATCATGAGTCAATTGAAGCAAGATCACCATGGAAAACCTGAAAGCACTGGACAGCCGTTTTCTCCTAGTATGGGACTCCTCAGCAGCACGCATCCATGATCCCGCCTCTCGGGATTCGGACCCAGGACCTATCAGTCTCGTACCATGCGCTTAACCAGCTAGACCACTGAGCTGGCCGGTATCCAACGGTGGTAATGTTTCAGTCAGACAGTCAGTCAGCTACAACGTAGGACCAGGCACATATGTGCATCGGTCCAGGTTGCCATACCTCATTAGCACAGCAAGATGAACACTGGATTCATAGCAGTGGTTAGGTCAAAGGTGGTAATATATAAGAGAAAGATCGCATATAGAAATATAGTACAAGAAGAAAGAATTGGTTCGTAGAAAGAAAGATATGAAGTGATTTTAATCTCTTAGTTTAAGGGAAGACAGGGTGTGTATACACCGACGCCATTGTGATCGATTTTGAGCCATGTCACCAACAGTCTCCAACCATTGGTTACGAAAGTCACGCGGACCCCAACCAAGTAGACTGCATCTACCAACATGGCTCAGACTAGAAGTTAGTGACTTCAAGCACTGATGCCACGTTTTGGTTTGGCCGCCCCTAACTTTCTTCCAACCATTCCGAACACCGGTTACCATTGCACGTCGTGGTAATCGGTGTTCAGGCATACAAAACACGTGGCCCAACCATCTCAGTCGATGAAGATTAACAACCTCATCAACTGATTTACCATCATTCCTTAATACCTTGCATCTATGCTCACTATTACTTACCCGTTGATCCCAGAAGACGCCAGGAATATTTCTAAGGCATCTGTGGTCAAATACTAGTAGCTTACGGGTGTCTTCTACTCTTAAAGGCCATGTTTCGTTGCCGTAAAGTCAGACAGAATGGACTACCGCGCAGTATACTCGTCCTTCTATTGATAGACGGATATCTCGCCTTCGCCAAAGGTGACGTAAGTTGGCAAAAGCCAAACGAGCTTTTCGAATCCGTGCTGAGATTTCGTCAAACACCAACCCATTAGGGCTGATCAGACTTCAACTAATCCACGAAATTGAGCAACACATCCACCATTGTCATTAGTGAAATACTATCTCAACAACAGATTCAGTTGAATTCCACTGGTCACTGCTTCTCACTGGATCTCCAGGAAATACCTCTTGTAGCCAGTTACTAGTAAGCTCATAATGATTATTATCAGAAGGGAGTTTAGCGAAAGATTATAGTAATTGAATAACTGAATTCATGAGTCAATTCAAGCTAAACCTCTATGGAAAACCTGGAAACACTGGGCGGTCGTTTTGTTCTATTGTGAGATTCCTCAACAGTGCATATCCATGATCCCACCTCATGAGATTCGAATCCAAAACCTATCAGTTTCGCATACAAACACTTAATCTCTAGATCACTGAACTGGTATCAAGTAGTGTTCATGTTTAACTTCAACTAATCCACGAACTTAAGCGACACATCCACCATTGTCATCAGTGAGTTACTACCTCACAACTGACCCGGTTGAACTCCACTTGTCCAATGCTTCCAGATTTGTCATGGTGGTCTAGATTCAATTGACTCATGATCTCAACTGTTGTAATTAGCAGATAGACAAATTCTTTTTATTCAAGAGAATCATGGAAAATCTAATCTTAGATCAATTTGAGGTAAACTGAGAATTAGCGTATACAAAGCAGTTGTATTCGACCTGGGTTTTTTTGTTTTATTACTTAGCATTAACTTATTTGGGGATCTAATAATGAAGTAACTATATACTGGTTAAAATATTCAAGTTTTAATAAACAGATTGAATTTTTTCTTTGAAACCTGTTCTGTATAGTTTATTAAAGTAACTAGTTTCATATAGACATAACGATCTTCATTCAGAAGAATTATGATGTCCCATGTTGAAAGACGAGATTGTTCGGAAGTCACGAGATGAATGCCTCTTTCAATAACCCGAGCAATAATTAATATAGGTACATGGAATGTTCAGACAATGTGAGGGTTCGGGAGGACCAATCAAATAGCTATGGAAATGAGCAGATACAAATTAACGGTGCTTGGAATAAGTGAAAACCATCGAACCCAAGATGGACAGAAAAGGTTAGATTCGGGAGAGAAGCTGTTGTACTCTAGTCACGAAGAAGGAAATGTTCCACATACTTAGGGATTTGCTTTGATGTTGTCTGAAGAAGCACGTAATGGACTTATAGGATGGGAAACTCACGGATCCAGGATCATCAGAGCATCTTACTACATGAAGAAGGAGGGAATCACGATGAATGTTATCCAGTGCCATGCAACCACTAATTATAACAACGACGACAATACAAATCAGTTTTATGAAAGGCTGATCTCGGCCGTAGAGAAGTGAATAGGAAGGGACACAACCATACCGATGGAAGACCTAAACGCCAAAGTCGGAATGGACTACACTGCATATGAAGATATCATGGGACGACATCGACCGGGAGAAAGAAACGAGAATGGTGATGGATTCGTAAATTTATGTGCATTCAACAAAAAAGTAACAGGCGGTACAATATTCCCACGCAAATGTATGCACAAAGTTACATGGATCTCACCGGATCGCACTACAAAGAATCAGATCGATCATATTTGCATAACTAAAAAATAGAAAAGGTCAATGGAAGACATTAGAACCAAGAGAATAGCTGATATAGCTTTAGATCGTCACCTGGTGGCTGCCTAGACGAAATTGAAGCTAAAGAAGTAATGCACGATTGGAGAAAAGGAATCACAAGGGTTGAATACAGCCTTCTCTCAACATACTGACAAACTCAATGAATTCAAGTAACTATCGACATTCGGTTTCAAGCCTTACAAGATCTCCTCAAAGAAGAAGAAACTACTATGGAGGACAATTGGAAAGGGATTAAAAAAGTATCAACTTCAACGTGCAGGAGATTCTGGACCACAAGCCGCATCATCATAAAAAATGAATCCCTATGAAAACACTGAGGAGCATTTAAAGAAAGAAGAGCAAGAAAACAGTAATTAGCAACAGTCAAACAAGAACAGAGCAAGTCAAGGCAAAATATGAGTACACAAAAACCAGCAGACAAGTGAAGAAGAGCATTAGAGCTGACAAGCAGAAATGCACGAAAGATCTATCAACGACAACGGAAAACGCTGTAAGAGAAGGAAATACGGAACAACCATATGACACAACGAAGAAACTGGTAGATAAATATAGTAAACCAGAGAGACCGGTCAAGGACAAAGAATGGAAGGCAACTATTGAGATTCCAGAGCACAAGGGTAGAATACTTCAGAGAACTCTGGAATAGACCATCTCGCTCGAATACACCGGATATTGGAGTAGCACACACAGACCTCCCTATAGATGTCACTCCACCAACGATCGAAAAAATCAGGATGGCCATCAACCAAATCGATGGGGGGGGGTAAAGCAGCACACCTAACAATATACAAGCTAAAGGTCTGAAATCAGATATGAAAGTAACTGCAAGCGTGGTTCACACTATATTTAACAAGATTTGAGAGGAACAACAAGTGCTGATGTACTGGAAAGAATAGCACATCATCAAGATACCAAAGAAGGCAGATCTGATCAAATGTGAGAACTACAGAGAAATCACACTGCTCTCAGTACCAGGAAAGGTTTTCAACAGAGTGTTACTGAACCGGATGAAAGATTCAGTAGACACTTAACTTCGAGATCAACAGGCTGTATTCCGTGGGGATCAGTCGCGTACAGAC